CCTCCTCAGAGAGGACTTGGGGAGCACAGTGGCTGGGAAGGGGCAAAGCCCTGGGGGGCTTCTTGCGCGATGGGGCACAACGCCATTAACATGAAGACACACAGCTGCCCACAGCCATTGGTACGTGGGGCGTGGACTGCATGAGGTGTGATTCGGGGGGAACCAGAAGTCCTAGAACATGAAGCAAGGTGCAGAAAGATCGATATCCTAGGTTGGGGGCTGACCCGGGGCCTGAGTGCGTGGGTTACCCAGCAGGCCTTTGGTAGATCTTTTTCAGGAGACGTGGAAGCAACAATGGTACTTGGAGCCCAAGGGCACTCGTGGGTGTCTCTGGGTGTCTTCTGAGAGGGGAGCAGGCCCCAGGACTCATCGTCTTTGATACCCCTACCCGCCTTCTCCCTCACCCCCAGTGCCAGCCAGTACTGTTACCTCTTCCCCATCCCAGGAGGTGTAGAATACTCTGCATTGGTTTGCAAGTTGGCCAGGTCCCAGGAGGAACGTTTCCTGGTGGCTAGGGCAGCCCAGGAAAGTGACAGCCGCTAACAGATGCCGTGGAGCCGCTTGGGGTGTCTGAGGCAAACCTAACACCCAGTACCTTGTATCTCTGAGTGCCAGCTACGGCTTTGGCATCCGTGGTTCAGAGGTTGTCCTAAGGAGGCGGGCCATGAATTTGTCAGGCAGCTAGAGGCCAGGGAGCCAGACTTCGTGGCAAAGGTGTACCCAGCAGTGGCTGCTACAGCTGGGAAGGGCTTGTTGTTGACAGGTGTCATCGAGATGGTTCCGACCCATAGCGCCCCTTAGGCACAACAGACACACTGCCTGGCCTTGTGCCTCCTCACAATGGTTCCTGTGCTTGAGCCCATTGTTGAAGCCACTGTGTCCATCCATCTCCTTGAGGACCTCCCTCTCCCTCACTGTCCCTCTACGTTACCAAGCATGGTGTCCTTCTCCAGGGCCTGGTCTCTCCTGACCAACATGTCCACAGCATGTAAGACGAAGTCTCCCAATCGTTGCCTCTAAGGAGCAGAGCTGACTTGTCCTTGCAGCAGTCCATGGTACTTTAAGGACTCGCAGGCATTAAAATCAAAGCAGACAACCTCGGCTGAAGTTGACTGAACTTGACTATAAGACCTCTGTTCAGACATGCCACTCAAAGGCCTGGAAATGGCAGTCTGCTCAGCGGACCAGACTCCATGACAGCGCAGGCCTGGTCATTTTCACGGAAGCATATCAGCTGGATTCCGAATTCAAACGTTTCCCACCTCAGCCAATCTCGCTCCTTCGTCTGCCTCCTACTTGCTTCTCCTTCTTGCCAAGAGACATCAAGCTTCCAGAATTTGTTGGACTATTTCGCAACTATAACTAAAAGGAACCGCCACAGTGTAACTCCTTGTGGCCTACTGCTGGGTCATCATTCGTGTGAAGTGGAGCCTTCCTGTTGTAACTATGTGACCTCCCAACCACTAGCTTTCCCAGTGATGGTTAATACAATTATGGAAAACCAGGAGACGAAGCTGCGTGCCCTCTCAGACAGGAGATCCATGGATGCCCTGCTACACGAGGCCTTTTAAGGCGTTGAGCAGCAAGGGTGTTACTCGGATGATTAAAGTGTGCCTGACCCAAGCCATGGTATTTCCAGGTGACGGATATGCATGTGAAAGTTGGACATTGACTAAAAAAGACCGTAGAAGAATAGATGTGTTTGACCATGGTGCTGGCGAAGAATATTAACAGGAACTGCCAAAAGAACAAACATGTTTCTTAGGAGTACAGCCAGAAGGTCCCTTAGAGACAAGGATGATGAGACTCCGTGTCAAGTACATTGGACACGTTGTCAGGGAAGGCCAGTCCCCGGGGAAAGGCATCGTGCTTGGTAAAGTGGAGGGGCAGCAAAAAAGAGGAAGGTCATTAACAAGGCGGGTTGACACGGTTGCTGTAATTAGTTTCCTTTATGTTGTTGATGAAAGGTATCTGCTATGAACAAGTCATTCGCTTTGCAAAATTCTATCATGTGATCTCGTTTAGTTCCTATCAAACCCATGTTTTCCAACTATTCCTTCCTCTTTGTGTCCAACTTTTGCATTCCAATCACCGATGACACTCAATGCATCTTGATTGCACGGTTCATCAATTTCTGCCTGAAGTCGTTGGTGGAATTTTTCAATTTCTTCATCACTAGCTTTTGTTGGTGGTGCATAAATTTGAAGAATAGTTGTATTGATTGGATTCCCTTGATTACAAGGATCTATATGTGACCTCCTCCCTGGGGGACGGACAACAGAAAGGTGGGTGAAGGGAGACGTCGGATAGGGCAGGATAGGACAAAATAAACAATTTATAAATGATCAAGGACTCATGAGGGAGCGGGAGAGGGGAGGGAGGGGGAAAAAGAGGACCTGATGCTGAGGGCTTAAGTGGAGAGCAAATGTTATGAGAATGTATGTACAAATGAATGTACAAATGTGCTTTACACAATTGATGTGTGTATGGATTGTGATGAGTCATATGAGCCCCTAATAAAACGATTGGAAAAAAAAAAGAAAGTAGAGAGATACAATCCTATCACAGACAGCACTGCACTTCAGGATGGATTTTTGGCTAGGATATTGATCTTTTTGTCCTCCTGAAAATCTATGACTTATTGTGGTATTAAAAAAAATAAAGTCTTTAACCTGTAGAGTGTCAGTTCTTTTCCTATCACTTTAGGACAATATTACAGGACAGACGGCTATCCGCTCCAAAGTTATCGTACATTCTTTGGGAAAAAAGCATTACTGTTTGGAAGCCGTGTTGTTGTTATTTCAAATGCCAGCGGGGTCACCCAAATTGAACCGGTTTCAGCCGAACTTCCAGACTAAGAACAGACAATGAAGAATGATTCAGCTCCCTGCTTTGGGGGTAGAAGCTGCTGTCAAGCTTATGCATAGCTTTGAAACATTGTCAGATTCTGAAGGTTTAATGACCGGAAGCAGCAGACCCTGGTCGGAGGCAGTCCTGGAGGATGGGCCCCCTAGGTGGGAGGGCATTTGAAATGTGACTCGGGCGGAGCGGCTTCCCTTGTTGGCGTTGACCATGGTGATATGAGTGGGGCAAAGCCTGCAGGAGGAGAGCCTTTGGGATCGTCATCTGATGGGGCACGACTCAAGGTCAGAAGAAACCGCTGCCAAAAAAATCTGCTAATGATTGGAATTTGGAATATACAACTATGAGTCTAGGCATGGCCTGGGTGATAGAAATGAAGCGGAAGGTCACACGATAGAATTTTGCAAGACCAATGACTCAAGAGATAGTATTGGGAGGTCAAAGTTGTTTCCAAGCCTGGCCATGGTATTTTGAATCACCTCATACATATGGAAAAAGCTGGACAGTAAATAAGAAAGACCGAAACATAATTGATGCCTCTGAATTGCAGTATTAGTGAAGAATTTGATGGTCCCCTGGACTGGCTGAAAGAACAAACAAAACTGTCTCGGAAGAAGTACAGCCAGAAAGTTCTTTGACCTTCTTCTCAGGAGGGACCTGGGCCTAGAGAAGACTCTCAACTAGAGGGTCAGTGAAAAAGAGAAAGACTTTGGGTGAGATGGACTGAAACAGTGTCTGCAGTAGGAGTCTGATCACAAGAGGTTGGCCAAACCAGAAAAAGTTGAGCCCCCTAACGTAAAAATCTGAGCCTCCTCCCAGTGGAGTCCTATGGCCCAACACCTTTTGGAGACTAGCTGCACTAGAATCCAGCACAAGTATTCATTTTCACCAAGAGTCCCTGGGTCCTGCAGTGGGCTAAACATTGGGGTGTTAACCTTAAGGTTGGCAGTTCAAGCCTACCAGCTGTTCCTTGAAAGAAAGATGAGGCTGTCTCTCTGCTAAATATTTACAACCCCAGAACTCCAAGCAACGGTGTCCAAACGGACTTATGGGCAGCTAGTGGAGCAGATGCTTAACATGTTTGGGTGCTAACCGAAACTGGAGGTTTGGATCCCCCACAGCACCTCAGGAAAAACACCTGGAAATCTAAGGCAGCCGTGGAAACGCTGCGGAGCACAGTTTGACTCTGGCACACACGGAGGTCCCATGAATCAAAGTGGATTCCGCTGAGCCTAGATCTGCGTCATTCTCCCAAGGTGAGCGGGGACCTGTGCGCCTGCGTGCCACAACCATCTCCCTCCAAACGGCTCTTTTTGGAGCTTAAGGGAAAGTTGTTCTCATTTGTAAGGGAGAGTTGGTTCCTCAAAGGAAACTTTCAGAGAGCTAACGTTTCCTAATCCTGGACCCCCCATCCCGCGGGGCGCCGCCAACACCTCACAAAACCACAGGGTCGGACGGTCAATGACCCGCACTTGGAACTTGGAAGCACACACCTCCTACCAAGGGCCGAGCCAGACGACTCTGCCCCACCCCTCAGCGGGGTTTTAGGCATTTGTTGCGTTTTCGTTGCTACCTTGATGGGTTCCCATGGAAACCACCCCCCTCTGCCAGGTCGGAAAATCAAAGCATCCAACCTTCGTTAGGCGGAGTCCTCGCGAACTCACAGCGCCCCATAGCAGAGTGTAACCTCATCTTTCACTAACCCCGCGGTCGCGACCGGCGCTCTCCCACCGGCCCTGCTGAGCTCAGACCCGTGTGGGAGGAGGGGCTCGCTCAGGGACCCCCACCGGGCCCCACCCCACGCTTCCACTGCGCCCAGGTGGCCAGAGACAGGAAGAGAGGGGCCCTACCTCCCGGAGTGGGTGGTGCAGAGGTGAGGGCGGGGCCGACGCCGAGAGGGGCAGGACCGCTGCGGAGAGGGGTGTGACTATGACGTTGGAGGGGCGGGGCCTACGTGAGAGGGGCGGGGCCGGCGCGGAGAGAAGGGTGGAATGCACGGGAAGGGGCGGGGCCGATACTGAGAAGGGTGTGGCCGCGCTGCGGGAGGGGCGTGGCCCTGGGGAGTGAAACGGGCGCGCGGAGGGAGGGGCGGCCCGGATGCGCGGAGCGGAGCGGACTGCGCAGGCGCCCCACTCGGAGAGGCGGAGGCGACGGCGCGGGAGGGAAGATGGAGGATTACCAGGCTGCGGAGGAGGTAACCGACAGCCCGGCGGCTGCCGCGGCGGCAGCGGGAGGGTGGAGCCGGAACCCGCGGCGCGGGCGTGCGCGACGCTCCGGTTGCGAGGGGCCGCGCCCCCCCGCGCGGTGCGCCCGATCTTTGCCTAGCCGAGGGGCCGTGACGACCCCCTCAGATGGCGGAAGTGGAGCCCCCCTGGGGCTCCCCAGGGACTGCGGGAACCGAGCCCGCACCCCAGGCACCCCTTGCAGACGGCCAGAGGCGACCCCTGCCTCCGCCCGCACGTCTGAGGCCTCTCGGCCAGCGGCCGGCGCGCGCCCCTGTCCCCATGTCCGGTGGTGACAGCCCTGCCCTGATGGCCAGGGGGCTCTGTCCTCCGCATCCGCCCCCGGCCTGCCCAGACCGCACTTTACAGTGCGATGATCAGTCCTGGGGGGACGGGGCCCTTCGCTGGCTCAGAAGATCGGGAAAAGCGAAGTGATCCAGGGACCTGCTGGCAGAAGACGTCCATTGTCGCCTGTCCGCAGGCGCACAGGGATCCGGGCGCTGGTGCATAGAGGCAGGAGTTTGGCTCCGTTTTGCTGTTAGGTCATTTTGCTGAAACCCAGATAAAGCTGAGTCAGAAATATGAGCTATGGGTACATTTGGGGAGACTGGGTGTGTGACCATTTTTGAAATTTAGAAGCAGGAATGTTTGGAGAAACAAAATTCAGACATGAACACAAGGACAATGAATACGACTGAAGATTGATGCCTTTGAGTCAGTTACCGTGTTGACGAGGGATACCGACTAGACCACAGACTTCCGAAGCATGCTCTTAAACTTGAGGATGGCAAGCCCTCCAGCACTGTGGACACGCCATCAAGAGAGGCCGGCCCCTGGGAAAGGACATCGTTGCTGAACTACAGGAAGACCCTTCGTGAGACACACCGGCCTTGGCTGCACCAGTGCGTTCAAGCTCAGTGACTGAGGGTGGCGCCGACCCAGGAAGCGTGGAAGTGGCTCGCTCTGTTGTGCACTGGGTTGCTACGAGGCGGAACCAACTCAACACCCCTAACAGCAACGAGGGCTGATGGCCGGTTCCCGCTCTGATCTGATCCCTCACCACATACTGTTCATGTACTTCCAACCCACAATGAACGTGTGAATGCTGACAGCCACCAAGGGATTAATTCTGTGGAGAGTCAGTGAATGCAGTCCTGGACAGCATGATGGGACTGTTGACAACATACATGACTGTGAGGGAGCGTTCTTCACACGGCACCCTGCCTTCCAACACAGCCGGACAGGCAGGTGGCCGGTGACTTCGGCATCGCAGGTCCCAGTGCATGCTGGGGCTGGGGGTGGGGGTGTGTGTGCACCACATGAGGAACTGTATTAAAGCAGCAGTTCTCAACCTGGGGGTCGAATGACCCTTTCACAGTGGCCGCCCGATTCATAACAGTAGCAAAATTACAGTTATGAATTGGCAACAAAAATAATTTTATGGTGGGGGGGGTCACCACAACATGAGGAACTGTATGAAAGGGTCCCCACGGCATTAGGACGGTTGAGAACCACTGCTGTAGAGTGAAAGGCGGGACAGGTGGTCAGTTTTACCATGTCTTGTGCATATTCCCACACTCGGGTCCTCCCAACCACCGAACTGAGCCCTGCCTGAATCTCCCCCACCCAACTTCCTGGACTCCCACCCTCAACCTCACTGAGACTACTGGGTTCTTGGCAGCTGCTTTGCTGTTAGGTGCCAGTCCGGTCAGTTCTACCCCCGGTGGCCCTCCGTAGAACAGAACAAAACACTCTGGTCTGCCCCACCCTCACGTTGCGGTGTGAGCCCAGTGTTGCATCGAACAGGTCATTAAAACGTCTTTTCTCACACTGGCGGTGAGGTCAGCTTACACTCCAGTGACCCCAGGCGTGCAGAGTAGAACTCTAAGGGGCCTCAAGGCTGCGACCTCTTGGAAACACAGCACCAGGCCTGTGGCCCAAGGCACCTCTGGGTGCTCAGACCACCATCCCTCTGGCCAGTAGTCCGGCTCCGACTGGCTGTGTCTCCTGTAGGACAAGCTGGACAGGGTCTTATCTGAGACGCCACAGCAGTGCCTCCACTTGGTGGGTTGGCTTTGCGACTCCTCAGATCCCGTCAGAAGGGACATTCACAGGACACCCCAAAGTGTTCCTCTTTCCCGGTACCTCCTGGGAGGAACCATGGCCAGAGCAGGGGTCCGCTGCCCTTGTATCCCGGTCACACGGTTGTGCCCTCCAGCGCTCTCCCTTTGGAAAGAAGCATCTCCGCAGGCAGTAGCACTTGCAGGAGAACCTGGAACCTATTCACCAACGTGAGACCATAAAAAAAAAAAAGCCCACTGTCTGTAAACTCCAGGCTAGCTCATTCGGACACACCAACCAGGACAGCCCTGAAGAAGGTGGCACAGTGGCCGAATGCAAAGATCCGGAAGGAGTGTAATGGCTGTAACAGAAGCCAACGACGCAGCTCAGGGCTTCTCCACCAGGGGAGGGTGAATGGCAACTATAAATGGCGCACTTCGCAGCGTTGGCACTCACCTATACCGGGCCACGTACCTCCCGTGCATTGTTGCTCATCAGTGAGGCCAGTCTTGTGAAGGACAGTGTGATTAACACTTAAACTCCTAAATGACCGCCATGTATCCTAGCCCGTTGGTCTCCGCTGACAGTGGTGACCCCCAGGAGAGCCCTAGGCCTCCGGGTCTCCCCGGGATGTGTCTGCCCATAAAAGGGCCAGACTAACTAGAGCACGTGCCCGAGTCTGCTCACCACCCAGGTTTGCATGCGCCCTGTGCGAGGGAAGCCCATCAGCTTTGAACACATGAAACTCACCTGGGTGTGTTTGTCCACAGACCTCGTTCGTGGTCGATGAAGTGAGCAACATCGTCAAAGAGGTAAGGAGACGCCGCCGGTGCGACAGGCCCCGAGCAGGGAGGATGACGGGCTTCGGCTTCACATGCAGTCTCGGAATAGCTTCTGCCAACCTGTGCGTTTTGGCGTTCCAAATAACAGTGCTTGCTTCTGAGAGCATCTAGATACCAACGACTCCCACATTATGTGCATTGTATCTTTTAAGCCAGTCAGGGAATGGTGCGTGTGTAGCGTTACTCCTGGAGGGTCCTGTGAAGTAGGAGTCTGTGTGGCAAAGCGAGTGTGAGTGTGGAAACACACTGAGCCATCGCTTTAAAAGTCCTTTAGGAGCTGATGGTCCTGCCGGGGGCTGCTTTGGTCCTCATCTTTTAAAAAATATACTTTTATTGGGGGCTCTTATATCTCCCACCACAATCCATACATGCATCTGTTGTGTCAAGCACATTTGTACATATGCTGCAAGCATCTTCTTTCTACTTGAGCCCTTGGTATCATCTCATTTTTCCCCTCCCTCCCTCCCCCATGAATCCTTGATAAGTTATAGATTATTATTCTCATAGTTTACATCGTCCCCTGTTGGCCTTCACCCACTGTTCTGTTCATCCCCCTGGGAGGGGCTCTAGGGTGATCCTTATGGGTTCTTCTTAACATCCCAAACTGCCCCAGACACTATGGCCACTGGTCACGCTTGCCTCCTGGTGAGGGCAGGAGGCAGAAAGACATCTGTTGTTCATTTGTCCACTCAGCACCTCTCTGTTCAGGGAGCCCACACTGGACTGACTGGCAGGCAAAGCAGACAAGGCTTGGCCGCTCTGGGGGGCAGGCATCCAACCCCCTCTCTCCCAGGAACATGGCTGCACACTTCATGTACAGGAAGGTGCTCTGAGGGGCACAATGACCAGGCTCACCTGGTAAGGTCTGGGGCCACCAGAGCGGACATCTGCTGAATAAATTGGCTTGGCGTGGTAGGTGTGTACGTGGTGGCAGGCAGAGAACTCGGGGAGCCAGCCTGGTTTTCCTGGCCGGTTTCCCTTCTGAGTAAGGATGGGTACAGACCCTGAGGCGCCAGCTGCATGTCCTTGCTCAGCAGCAGTCAGCAGCAAAGCTGGGGTCCTGGCTCGTTCAGAGTCCAGTGCAAACAACCATGCGTGCTAACATGGCCTCCAAGGCCAGCAGGCTCAGGTGTCATGGCCCATTTTGTCAAGGGTCTCGGAATTTGTTTGACCTGACCCTCCCGCAGGCACCAGGCTCCGAGGGTTGCTGTCAGGACCGTGAGGTGAGCCTCCTAGCCACCCCATTCCCAGCCAAGAAAGCTTTGCTACTAATGGCAGTTCTTGCCTGAGGCCTGGACATGTGGTAAACCCAGGCCAGTCCTGTCCTGCCTGGGCACACTCAGGCTGACCACAGGGGCCTTTGAGAAGTGGGCAGGAGCTCCCGGTCAGCGGATGGGAGGCCATTCAGCTGTGACCACCGTAAGTCCCAGCATGAGTCACATGTGCATGGGAGTCCACGAGAAACTAGAGAAGGCCTTTGTCCATCTCCAGGTCACCAGGCACGAGCCTGTGTCAGACTTGTGCCCCTCACCACCTGGGGCAGCAGAGCCAGGACTCTTGGGTCACGGAATTTCAGAGGGCAGGACCTGGCCTTGACGAATCAGTCTGTTTGTCTCCTGGTGTCCAGGGCGGCCCAGGGTCATTGGGCAGGCAGGGCTGCGCACAGAGGGCCTGGGAGCCGCGCCCTATCCTGGATAACAATGCAGGGAAGAGAAAGCCACCACCCAGCGAAAGCAGGTCAGGAGCTTCCAGAAGTTTGTGGGAGGATCCCACTGTCTTCTCATTACATCTGCCCACCAACTTTTAGAAGCCTGTGTGCCAGCCTGCCCTTGTTTGATGACCATCCTTACTCGGTCACAGGATTCCAAAAACTGCTGGGTACAGGAGTTACGGGTAGGTTTGTACACTGACAACTGTACCAGTATTCCAGAACATCTAAGAGCAAAGAAAGGAGTAGGCAAAATAAGGATGATTTTCTCACCTCAGCAGGGGAGGGAGGGGGAGGAGGAAGGCTGCTCACTGCCAGGTAGTAAGCATCAAGGAAGAGTCAACCTAGTTACTGGGTCCAAATGTTTAGACAACTTGACAAACTCTGGTGTTTTGTTTTTCATCACACTGCTAGACAGCAGGTGCATTGGCAAGGCGCCTTGTCTCCACGATCACTCAGAAGCTTGCGGTGTCTTGGGTTAGGGCTATGGAGGGCGCCGCTCAGTCACCGCCCGGCGCCGGTGCTGTCTTGCAGGCTATCGAGAGTGCCATCGGTGGGAACGCCTACCAGCACAGCAAGGTGAACCAGTGGACCACGAACGTCGTGGAGCAGACGCTGAGCCAGCTCACCAAGCTGGGGAAGCCGTTTAAGTACATTGGTAAGGTGCTCGGGGCCCCAGGGAGCTGCTGGTGGGGGTGCCATCCATCCCGACAAGGTTGTCTCCCAGCGAGGGTGCCAACAAGGCACCCCGTGGACAGTGGCTGAGCCCTCGGCTGCTCACCGAAAGGTCGGCTGTTTGAACCCACCAGCCCTGCAGCCATGGGAGGGGAGGAGCCTCAGCAGCCCTGGGGGCCCTTAGGGGTCAGAGATGGCGGTGCTGCCTCCAGAGAACCAGTGGTCCCTCGGTTTGTCCCCTGGCCCAGCGGAGCGACTGGCACCACTGCAGGCACAGGCCAGGACAGGAGCTGCGGTTGGAGCGCCGTGGGCCAGGTCACCTCGTGGGCATGCTGTGCCATCTGAGCACCATGGCCTGGGGATGTCCTCGGGGGCAAGCGCACATGCTAATGGGGTCTGTTTGGTTCCAGTGACCTGTGTCATCATGCAGAAGAACGGAGCTGGGCTGCACACAGCGAGCTCTTGCTTCTGGGACAGCTCCACCGACGGTAAGGCTCAGCCCGCTCCTGCCCGTCAGCCTGGCTCGCGCATGAGAGGGCAGGGGGAGCCTGCGCCCCCCGAGCTGGGAGGTTCCAGCGTGAGTCTTGGCGACCTGTGGTCTCTCACGAGGCGCGCTGGAGCCTGCAGACAGCAGCAAAGGGAAACTCAGCAGTTTCCCCCAGAACAGCAGTGACATGGTGGTAAGACCCCCCTTTCTGAGGAGGGTGACCCGGGCACACACTGCCGCCCATCTCAGGTCTCAGTGTGTCGCTGAGTGGTTTTGATAAATCAGACTCGCCTCACCTGCTTTAGAAGGAGCCCTGGTGGGCCGTCGGGTCTGCATCAGACTGCTGAGGCGGGGGTCCAGAACCAGCAGGTGTGCTGAGAAAGGGGAGGCCATCCGCTCCATGAAGAATAACCTCCTCAGAAACCATATAGGGCAGACAGTAAGGACCACGGTTAGCGGGGGTTGGCTTGACAGCTGGCCCCCAGTGGGTTATGTAAACTGTCAAGTGCCACCAGAGCACCCTGACTCCCACGCCTAGTCCCGTGTCCGTCTTTGGAATGGACGCTTCAGCACTTGACAGTTACAGTGCGTTCGGCTGCTCACTAAGGTCAGTGGACTGTGCCCACAGTCACTCAGGAAAGATGAGGCGAGTCAAACCATCAGGGCGATGGTCGTCATGGGAACCCTGCCAGGTCCCTGAGGATCACCTAGTCTAAAGTGGTTCCACACCCTTGGTTGTAGGGGGTTACCGTTCTTTGGGCACCACAAGAAGGCAGATGCTGTGCCGGGATTGCGGTAGGGAATCCGCCACGGGGTGGGTTCCGTGTCACGCCTTCTCAGTGTGCCCTCTCTCGGCAGGGAGCTGCACGGTGCGCTGGGAGAACAAGTCCATGTACTGCATCGTCAGCACCTTTGGCCTGTCCATCTAGTGCCCGCCCGCCCGCTGGCCCTCCTCTCAGCATCTCTGCTCCTCGGCCACCAGCCACGGGTCAGCCACCACCTCTCGTCTCATTTGTTTCTTTTGTCTGTCTGGCTTTTGTGGCGCTCTCCACATGTAGAGAACACCAACCAAAGGGCTGCACCACCACACCGGCCCCTGAGGCCGCCAGAAGCCGTGTGGACACGTGTCTTAACTCGCTCTCCTCAAAGGTGCTCAAACGGAAATCTGCTCGTGTGGAACTTTCGCTACTCTGAAACGATTCACACGCACTACTTTCTCCATACTTTGTGCTTTTGTTAGGATAATAAATTATTCCAACTTCAGGCCGGTGGTGTCCTTCCTGTCAGTCTCCCTCAGGAGCGCCTCCGGCCTAGTGTTGGTGTGGCATCCCTGCTGTGGCTTCTCCGGTCAGGGTTCGCTTGGTTCTCCTCCGGGCCGACCTAGACGGAGTCCTTGTTGGGCCAGGCTGAAACTGCCCTGGGCCCGTCACCTGCCTTGGCAAAGTCCCCAGGCACTGCCAGGGAGGGAGGCGGGTGAGGCGGTCCTGGCCCTGCCACCAGAGTGCCCATGTCCCTGTCTGTGGAATGGACACTTCAGCACTTGACAGTTTACAAAAGGGTTTAATGTTAACAGAAGAACGTGTTCATTGGGCTCCCCGCCTCCCTGCAAGCGCCCCGTGGAGCTGAAACGCTCACCGGTGCCCACAGCAGAGCCTGCGGCCAGTGAAAGGCCCTGTGCCCTGCTCCCTGCTCGAGAACCCTCTTCCCAAAGCCGCACAGATCAGCACACGGAGAGGAGGAGCATGGAACATTAAACATTTATTAACATTGTCCAGGGCGGCAGGCTCAGAACAAAGCCGGCTGTCAAGCGGGTACCTGCCATAAACAGACCATGCTGCTGTGGCCCGCTTCCAGGGGCCACCCTTCATCCGTGTCCTGTTTGTGTTTACAAATATTTACAGTCTTTGTAGAAAAGCGGCGTCAGTGTAGAACACCGTCCATTCCCTAGTTTGCTACACGAGTTACCAGCAGACCCCAAACGTGCCCAGCCAGATGGCAGAACGGCACGCTGTCCCAAATGAAAGCCTGAAAGAAAAGCTTGCTTTTTTCCCCCTCTCCCTCCTCTCAAAAGTTCTAACTTAAAAGGCAACTGGTTTTTTTATCCGTGCTGATAACACCGGTACACCGTCTACTCTTGACTAGGTGTTGGTGGAGTACCCTGGTATATCCTCCCTTCTAGAAGTTTCTACCTTCTTCCCTGTGAAAGGGACTTGGGAAAAGTCACCCCGTTAAGACCGGTTACGTGTCACTGCCCCCCGTAAATTAAGTCAAGGGCCACTAAAAAGCTGGTGACGACCGTCTGGGGCCCTTGTCCGTTCAGAGTTGGGGCTTACCCGCTGAATGGAAGCGCTCAGAGTATCTATCACCGTACGCGACACCGCTCGGCATCCCCTTCCCTGCCTTTCAGAAGGGCCAGCGAGAACCACTACCTCTGCCGCTGTACTGGTTTCCTCCTGCGTCGTGCCGGCCCGCCCCCAAGGTCCATCCGGCTGTCCCCGGGAAAGCACTGCCCTCTGCTCGTCTCCCAGCACTCCCCCGCTGGACCACTGTCAAGAGTCCCAAGGTGCCATTCGCTCCAGCCATCCCACGGCAGAATGAGTCATCCCTGGGACTGACAACTTTAGTTAGCGCAATGTTGGTCCCCTCCAAGTTTTTTCCTTCCCTGATAACTGTCAAAAGTTTCTTGCAGGTTTTAGTTTTTTTAACTAATTATTGCACATAATATACATGCTAAATGCTACATACTATAAGCAAATTTTTACATGGGGTGTGCAGTACAAAATAAGTATACATGACGCACTAGAGCCGTGTCTGCCAAAGTGCACGCAGATGCCACCCCCTGGGGGCGCTGAACTGGTGGGGGCGGGGGAGGCTGCCCAAGCAGATACCTACACTTTATCCTGGACTATGGGCTATTATACCAAAGCCTTGAATTACCAGGAGGGCCACTGGGTAAACTTTTTTTTCTGAAAAGGGTAGGACAACTAAGTTTGGGCACCTGAAAATGGAAAGCAAAAAACACATGATTGAAATAAGATCCTTCTTTACCCTCAAGTGCCTTCTGTAATCATTTCTCGTTGCCAAAGCACTTAGGAAAAGCCAGTAAGTATCCCACACTTTCCTTTCACGACTTCATTCATGCACAGCCAGCCACCGAGGCAGTTCATCGCCAGCGCAAAAGTACGTTATAGGACAGAGGGCTACAGTCAGAAGTTCTAGTGTTTGGTTGCACGCCCAAACAGGCGACGTGCACTGACTGGAAGCAGCAGGTGAAATCACCGAGGGCGTCTGGAGCCCCGACCACATCCTCGATCGAGTGTTAACCGGAAGTCTTCCTTGTCTGCGTGGCGTAATTTAGGGGAAAGTAGTCTTGGGAGGTGGAAATTCTGGTGGCAGAAAACAGCCTTCCTCACTCACTCGAGTACACGGTATTAAGGGAGGGACACACACACTGCTAGACATGTGGCCCTGTGGGAACTTGAGTCAACAGCAGTCCTCACTCCACCACCCATATTCACGGTGTTTCAAGAAACGCACAGGTAGTGTGGGTGGAGTTCCTATTAAAGGTACGATCCTGGGGGCGGTGGGTCATCTCCTGAGAACACTGTGCCAAGGTCCCAGCATGGCTGTGGGTGGAACACCGTACTCAGCTGTGGGCAGTCGTGGGCAGCAGAGGTGCTGTGTGCAGAGGGGAGCCAGCACGGCCATGCTGGACACCTGGGGTGGCCCTGTGGGTGTGTCCAGGGGAAAGCCAAGACGTCCCCATGGAGCCTGACAGAGGAACGGGAGCCTCTGGGCGGCTCCCTGCCTGGTGCCAGAGACTCTGAGACCCCAAGACCTGTTTGCCTGCCAGCAATGGGGAACCGGGAAGACAGGGATACTTCCGGACAATCCACCTACACCCAGAGTTTCCCAGAAGCCACAGAGAGTCATTCCCCAACCATGAGGGGAAACGTTCAAAAAAGTTTGTGGGGAAATTCCATTACCTTTTCATTCCAGTTTTTCATGAAGCCTCCTCAGAGGAAACTGAAAAACTGGGGGGATAAGGAATCGATATCCTACTGCTTGCTTTAAAAAAATGTAAGTTGTGTTTTACCAAGAGTTGCAGAAACTACTATTGACTGGAAACGCAACCGTGGGCTCTTCCGCAAGGCCGTCCAGGCTCTCCGGCAGCACAGGGTAAAGGCAGTCACCACCTGCACTCTGCAGCCTGGCAGCTTCTGCTCCAGAGGGTGGGCAGAGCAGTCAGGTGTCCCTCTGAGGGAGGGGGCCCTCACACTGCTTCCCAGCCACTCACCGGAAACTGCCCAGAACCCTTGCTGTTGACCGGGGCACTGCCCCTCAGCCTCTCCCCTGAAGTCTAAGAAAAGCTGGGGCTGTCGGGACTTTTATCTGTATCTCTCTCCCTCCCACAGGTCGCCACCCCAGCAATCAATTTGGCCCCCGTTCAAATTTGCCCTCTGACGTGGTTCTCCCGGTTGAAGTGTGTAAACAAGTGGGGGAGCGGGCGCCGCTCCTCGGCCGGCTGCCCGGCGGGCTCAGTCACTGTCCGACTCCTCCTTGTACTTGGCCCGAATGGCCTGGCCGTTCTGCAGGGGCATTTCCTCGTAGTCGCTCCTGCCACCAGAGAGATCGTGACTCCATCCAGCTCGACAGCTCCAGTCTCTCCCCACTCCACCCCCGTCACTTGTCTACAGCCCACACCGCCTCCCACAACACGGCCATGGCCAGTGTCCAGAAAGGCCCGGGAGGTCAGCAGAGAGGCGCCCGAGAAAGTGGACACAGCCCAGTGGGCAGCGGACCCGCTGGGCCAGACACATAGTGGGGGGCCTCGCAGGTCATTTCAGGACAGCAGCCCCCACCTCTACACCCCCGCAGAACCCGCAGGACGCCCACTGGGGGGGCGGCGACTTACCCGTAGATGACGTCGTCGTCCGAGTCGTTGAGCATGGAGAAGGCGGGATTGTCTTTCAACTGGGACTCTGGAAAGCAACAAAGGTTGGTGCATCAGCCTGAGGAGGCGGGGGGATCAGAGGCTGCGGGCCATCCCGACTCCCGCTCAGGCTGAACACTTCACGCCCCAGAGCCCGGCTCCTGTCCATGCACGGGCGGGCACGCCCACACGCCCAGCCCACAGCGGGACACACAATCGGGGCACCCTAGCGCCAGATTCAGGCCTCGAGGCCCTGCCCTGTCCGTCAGCCCTCAGAAAGGCACTCTACATTTGGTCACTGGTCAACAGGGGTGGCACAGGCCAATGCAGGCTCTCGAACTCCTCCCTCAGACAAACTGCAGCTGGGAGCTGCCACCCTGTCAAGTCTTGACTCTTGCCACCCCAGCAGGGTACGGCCACAAAACATCCCTGCCTCCAGCTCTAACGCCCATATCCTGCTATTCCCAGGGTGGCTGGGCAGGTGGGGCCTCAGTTTGAAAGGTCCTCGCCGTGGCCTATGGCACAGGGTGGCCACGTGAGACACACCCACAATAACATACATTTGTCATCGGCAAGACAACACAGGTCAGACACGCGTGCCCCACGGCACTGCATGCGGAGCCCGGGACTTACCATAGAGAGCATTCTTGGACGGGGAATACACGAAGGCCAGGGTGTAGAGATAGAAGTTCAACAAGCCGTAGAAGGACAGGAACTCGGCTGGTGGCTTTGGTCAAGGGAAACCTGCTGTCCAGGAGCGGTACACAGTGGGCACCTCTGGGTCTTGGTAGGGACGCTATTCTAGCGCAAACACCGGCCAGGACAGGGGTCTCCAGAGCCAAGCAGGCATCAGAACGTACATGCCCAGCCCACAAGCGGCGGTCTGCAATCCCTCCCACAGCCGAGGGGAACATGGCCTCTGCTCCCCCGTGGAGACAGGGTGCTGGAGCACCCCGTGTGCCCAGGGGCAGCTTCGTGCTTCCCGAGGCAGCCACGCAGGGAGCATGGGCGTCTGAAAGATCCTCGGCCAGCTGTCCTGAGTATTTACAGAAAACAGGCCCCCGGGAAGCGGGTGAAAACTTGGCCTGGGGTTCATGGGCACAGGCACGTGAAGGAAGGGGTCAGTTCTCAGGAATTCAGAGGTCGGAGCCCATCTCTGAAGGTCCCTGGAAGACATCAGTGAAGGGCACACTGAGCCCCACTTCCACAGGAAACAAGTTGGGGACCCTAAGGGGTAGCGGGTGAAAGTCAGGGCCTCAGGTGGCAAAAAAGGAGGAGGTCTGGTCTCTCGTGAGGCTCTTGGATACCAGGGCTCTGTCGTACCGTTACCACCAGCACCACCGTTCCGACCAGCATGGCCATTACCACCAGCGCCACCCCGGTGGACACAAAATGACACTGGGGACAATAAGAGAGAAGCCGTGTGTGAAGACAAGATACCCATCAAATTGCAGGGAGAAGGTGGCTCGGGGCCAACCCCACAAATGGACCCCCGGCTAGACATCCTGATTTGTCCAGGTCCCAGCCTGCATGGCAAAGAACATGGATGGACCCTCTGGCCCAGAGAACCTAGCTGGGGGGCTGGGGGCTGGAACTCCTCTTGAGTCTAAGCTCTCTACCCCCAGAAGAGAACAGTGTCCTCCAAGCCCCAACCCCCCCAGCCACTCTCCAAACCTGGGCTGTGTGGGACAGGCGAGCTGAGCAGCACACTCCCAGCTACGGCACCGGGCCCTGCCTTCGCGCTCGGCACCACGTGGAGGAGGGTCTCCCTGGTCTCCCGAGAACAGGCGATTTGTGCTGGCCCGCCTCTCCTTTGCCCCCGGACTACAGGCTCTCCCTACCACGCGAGGATGCAGCCCAGCAACCTGAGCCTCGCTCCCGATGGAAAGGATATAATTCTGGTAATGAGTTGACAGTTCAGCTACTAAATTGTCTTGTAGCACTTGGGCTCCGAACCTTAAGTAAAGGATGGCGATGCTGGAAAAAAGGGCACGGAGAAGAGACAACACGTAAAACTCGTCAAAGAAGTAGCATTCGCTTCAAACAGCCCGGGACCCACCCCGTGAGCAGATGTGACTACGTTTTCAACACACACACACATACACACACACACATGCAAGACCCCTGGAGGCCCAGACCCAGCGAGCTGCTGGAATGGCACCATTTGTGCTGACAGATGGACAGATGGACGTGCTGGGCTGGGTCATGCCCTCACCTGCGTTGCTTCCCACATAAGCAGCTCCCCGAGCAGTCTGCCTGCCACACGCTGGGCATGGGGCCGGGCAGAGGAAGGGCACAGCTGGTGCCCACGTGTTGAGATATCACAGAGCATTCTGGTGTTAGGTTCCCTCTCCCCTTACCCACTCAGAAGCCCCCTACAAGTGACAAGCACCCTAGCTTTCAGCCCCCACCCCACAGAGCCCTTCTCGCCCCAGAGCCAGCGGGTCTACATTTAGCAGAAATATCAAGCACTCTGCCGCCCAACTGAAAGCCCCCCCCCCAACACCTGTCCTGAGACAGGGTCACCCTGCGACTCTCACATGCACGCTGGAGGTGGCTGGTCCTCACACAGCAGGGGCGAGGTCCCACAGGCACTTCCGGGGCTCCTCTCTCTTGTCACTCAGGGCTCACAGCAATATCACCCCTCCAGATTACTCTGGTCAGAACTAAGGGCTCCCTCACCACTGTGCGTGGCCGCCCCTCCCTGCCGGCGCCCTCAAACACTAGTGAGGCCGCAGGAGGAATGCCTTCTGCACCAGTGGTGGCACCCCAAATCCTGGTGACCAAACCGGGGAGCTCTCCTGACAGTGTTCTGCAGAGAGGCCCCGGAAGCACAAGTCCTATGACGGGCTGGCCAGAGACCCCTGCTGCCTGAACGGCAGCCCCGGCCTGTGGACTACAGCAGGAGAGGGAGGGTGTGAGCGAGGACCGTGAGAAATTAGAGACCATGAGAGAGAGTGGGAGACAGGCTGTGAGAAATCAGACCAAAGAAAGCATGTTGCGTGTGTGTGTGTGTGTGTGTGTGTGTGTGTGTGTGAATTTGCACAGAGATCATGTCTGTGTATGTACCATCTGTGATAAATTCCACAGAAAACAGCATGTGTATGAGAGGTACAGAGTGTGTGACGTTGTGACAAGTTACACAGAGAGTGCATGTGCCTGCGTATGAGGGTCTGTGACAAGTCACACATAAGAAAGCACGCATGTGAGGCTGTGAGAAGTGATAGAGACATGACATGGGTGAGAGTGGGGCTGTGACAAGTCACACAGAGATAGCGTGCGGGTGTATTACAGACTGTGCATGTATTACACACAGGTGCGTGTGGACCTGCACAGAGAGTACATGTGTCAAGTGCTGAGCAGACAAGAAATCAGGAGCTCCACGCCTGCCTGCATGACCCTCCATTGTGAACTTGGACTCTGACGTGATAAACAGCACTCAGGTGTGGCTGAAAGTCCACGCTGAGCTGGCGTCCAGCACGGAGTGCCGTGGACAGATGGTGGCGATGTGGGTGCTGGGAGGAGCCTCACCCTCATGGACTGGGTACCAAAGGCCCCTGGGAGTGGAAAGGGGCACCCACTTTCCATTCAAGCACGAAGTGAGATGCAGATCACCAGGCTGAGCTCTGACTTCGGAGAGAGCAGCGGACCCTAAATGCTCACGAAACAATTGAACTCCTGGGTCACCCTCAGCCATGTGCACCCAGCCTCCCGCCCTGGCAGAGTTCTCGGAACAAGGCCTTCCTCGCTGTCTGTCACGCACCTCCTCACAGGCCCCTCTCCCCACCGGACCCAGTGTGGGGTGGCTCCAGTGAGTGACAATGGCTGGGCAGAGTGCAGACAGAAGCACTGTGGGCAGGAGGTGCAGTTGGGCCCCCAGAGCACCAGCGAGGTGCTAAGGTGCCAACCAACTCCTCAAGGGAGGCTAACCCTGTGCCCCCGGTTCAAGTCTCTGAACTGTGGCATCCCGCCGCCCTGATACATGCTGAAGGAACCCTGGTGGCACAGTGGGTTGAGCGTCTGGACTGCTAACCTCAAGGTCAGTGGTTCAGTCCCACCCGCAGTCCCAGAGAGAAAGTGTGGCAGTGATACCCCCTAGAGACTGACAGCCTGGGGGACAGAGCAGTTGTACTGCCTGTACACGAAAGCCAAAAGCAAGCTCACTGCCATCGAGTCATGGCGGCCCCCAGCGACCCCAGGGTCTGACTGTTAACGGTAGGAGAAAGCCCTGTCCTCCTTCCTCGGAGAGGGTCACAGCCCACCAAGTAACGACTGTGCTCCTACAGGGTCAGCGTGAGTCAGTCCACTCAACAGCCTGGGCTGAGCTGGGCACGGTGGCGAGGGGACCAGAGAGCAAGCAGCCCTCACTTTCCTTAGTGGCAGGAAGAACAAGCATTCTCTCTCTGGCCGATGTACACGCATCCCCCCTCCCTCACCCTGGTCTCGGGGCAAGCGGTCCTAAGCCCTGGGGAAAACGGGCTGCTGGGGAAGAAGCGGAAAGTCTCCGCTCCATCAGGAAGACCGTGGCAGTCGAGTCAAAATTCAAGCTTTACTTCTTTCCAGAAGCAACGTCTTACCTAATGACGAGCACGACAAAGGTCAGCGTGGTCAGAAACTTCAGCCTGAGGTCTGAGGAGAGAAGAGCACCCCGCTCAGCTCGGGGACTGGGACATAAAAGCAACGTGAGCAACAGAAAGACCCTCTTCCCCGTGGTGTGAAAGCCTCCCCCGAAGCCCCAGGAGTGCTGCCCCTCCTCCCGGGGCCAGGGCTTGGGGTGCTGGCTGCGACCAGTGGGCGAAGGACCTTAAAGGCCTCTCACTCTGAGACCAAGAAAACAGGCCTTCCGCTCTGCACCCGGGGCCCAGCTGCCCTCGGCCCAGCACGGTCCACGGAGAGTCGGACACGCCTGTGGGGGAAGGGACAAACCTCAGATGCCCCCATCCTCACACCCTCCCCCACATGAGGTCAGCACCACATAGGGTCTGCTTGGGTGGGGCGGGGTAGGGGAGCATGTGCTCCCCAAATGAGAAGCAACCACGACGTGCTTCGATGGCTGAACTGAGAAACTATGAGTCCGACTCAGGGGATTCTGGAAGAGGGGCCACCAGAGGCTTTGGGGTCTGTGCAGACAGGTGACGGCCAAGCCGTAAGCAGGACAGGGAACCGACTCCGCATGCCGCTGGCATGGTGGTCATGTGACGTCAGGCATCGCCCTGATGTGAAGGGGACACGGCTGTGAACACAGGGCCTCGGGCAGGCCCATCAGTCTGCGCTCCAAACCCCTCACACGCAGGGCAACGGCCGGAGGGCCCGCCCCGCTGTGGGCAGTTTCTCCACAGGAACGAGGCCAGGGAGCACACGTGCATGGCGTGCTTACCGACGTAGGGCAGGTGGCGGAGCTCGGAGCACGCCCGCACGATCAAGAAGAGGAGGTAGAGCACGTATGTTGCGGCCACCACCATGAAGAAAATCTTCACTCCCTGCAAGGGACAAGGCAGGCTGTTGTGCCCAATGGGGGAGCCCAGGGGGGCCCGGCAGAGTGGGGGGCGGGCATGGGTCTCAGCTGCTCCCTCAGCACCACCACCCGCCCTCAAGAGGGGCTCAGGCCCACAAGGGCACCTGCAGGACACCCCCCAGCCCACACCCACACCCACACCCACACATGGCTGGGCAGAGGAGCTGGGCTGCCTGCCCTCCCAGATGCCAAGCCCCCTGCAGCCCCCTGTCCTCATGCAGCCAAGGCTGCACCAGACGGCCCAGGACAGGGTCGGCCGACTTTTGAGACAGAGCCACCCCGACCGTCACACCATCTAAAAACAACTCAAGCCAGAAACATGTCTGTACAAATGAGTGGAATCACTGTTCTGTGGAACACTATCCTTAAAAATGGTTCCGTTTTACCTCAAACGGCAAGACTCCTGCTCAAAGGATACGAACAATTCCAGGATGGCGACCAGAGCACTGGCCCAGACTGGGCCCCTCTGAACACGGCCCTCACCCTTCAAGCATGGGGCCCCTCCGAGCACAGCCCCCACTCACCCCCACGCCCACCCAGAGTGGAGACCTGTGGACTACATGTCTCCCCAGCCTGTGGCCCCACCCAGTCGTGCTGTAGCCCGACAGGCAGGCCTGCAACTGGGTGTTCCAAACAGACTTTGCACCGTGAACTTCCTTCCTAAGCACCTGGGCAGGACAAAGCGAGCGGCGCGCAGACAGGAGTGACCCCACCAAACAGCAGGGCAGAGAAGCCCAGGCCTTGCCGACCCGCGCACCTGAAAATTCACCGTGTCGACGCGATACTGGTACATCGGGTCATGCAGCTCGTTCACTCTGAAGACAAGTAGAGGGAAACCAGAGATTAGTCGCTAGCGTTGCTTTCACGTATTTTACGCTTTCCCACCTGGCGTTTCTTTTCTCTGTAGCACACAGTACGTACTCATCAGCGGGAAAGGGCTCTGCAAAGGAATTTGCAGTTTACCACAATTCCTGAAGTGCACGGTTCACGCTTAGAGCCCACAGGGCCCAGAACCTGGCCTCTGCCTCCATCCTTGGAGAAAGCGGGAGCACCGGTGGCAGTGAGTGAAGCCCTGGGCTAACTACAAGGTCGGCAGTTTGAAGCCATCGCTGCCTTGTTGGGGGAGGCCGTGGCGGCGTCTGCTTCTGCAGAGAAGCCATTATTATAAGCCCTATGGAGCAGTGGTCTGGGGCTGGTAGGGATCGGGGCCTCTGGCAAGTCCAAGGGCTGTTAGCCAGCACCTGTGCACAGCCCCCTGGGCACCAGGCAGTGGATGCCTCCCAGCAAGATGCTGTGAATCAGCAGCTGTCCCTTCCAGGGCAAACAAGGGTGGGTGACAGGTGGGCAAGACGGGACCTGGAGGAGAGGGGGTCAGTCCTGCTGTCACACAGACCTCGGTGCCGTCCCTAATGGGACACTGAACGGAGACTCAGGTGATGCTTGGCTCTGGCTGTGGTGCCCCTCACAGCGCATGGGACTAGAGAGCGTGCCGGGGAGGCTTGCCGAGCTCTGAGGACAGCCCTGAGTGGACGTGGGGAGCTGGGCCCGGCCTGAGCTTCGTCTCCGTGACGGGGCCGTTGAGGGTGAGGGAGGGCAGGTTCCTCGTACACTAGTGCACGGCTGTCCGTCAACACAGGAATGACCTCCTCCTGCCTGTCCCACACCGGCTGCGGGGCCCTGGCAGGGTTCGCGGGGTTCTGCCACAGCCTCACGACACAGAGCTCACACCAAGGCGACTCACGTTTGCCAGACTCCCAGCGTCACAGAAGCCAACCAGAGCAGCCCGACGAGAAAGAACTTGGGCAAATAGAAGGTCAGACACTTCCTTTCTCCCTAGAAAGCAAAACCAGAAACAAGGACCAGAGAGAAGAGGTGGTAACTCTACCCCCGCCACTGCCACCCCCACACGGAGCAGCATGCTGGGGCGCTGGCTCACCTGCACCCGGATGCCGTGGTAGACGCAGAGCCAGAAAAGCAGCAGTGCGCACAGGAACAGAGACTGGAAGAGGTCGTCCAGCATGCCCGGGAACCAGCTGTTCACCAGGAAGGACAGCGGGAAGAAGGGGTCTGGAAGGAGCGGGCAGGCGGAGCTGAGCAACCAGCTCACAGCTGGCCCAACCCAGGCGCCTTCCCCCGGGGGTCCACCCAGCCACCAGCCACGTGCCCTAGTCAGGACATCCCCATCCCTCAAGGTAACCAACAGTCAGCACTACCCCAGCCAAAGTGTTCCCTCCATCCCAGTGTTCCCTCCTGACAGGGTACCCTCTGTCACACTACACACACCCCGCCAAACACACACACACACACACACACACCAAAGTGTTCCCTCCATCCCAGTGTTCCCTCCTGACAGGGTACCCTCTGTCACACTACACACACCCCGCCAAACACACACACACACACACACACACCAAAGTGTTCCCTCCATCCCAGTGTTCCCTCCTGACAGGGTACCCTCTGTCACACTACACACACCCCGCCAAACACACACACACACACACACACACACAGGTTCTGAGCTGTGCACCCCCCTCCTGGATTGGATCCAGGGAGAAGTGGGGGAACCCCAAGTGACTGTGTTCCTTAGACACCCGGGCATTGGCTAACAAATGGCACCAGAGGGGTTACAAAGGGTCTCACGGAGGGCCACTCCAGAGGGTCTCATGGAGGGCCGCTACAGAGGGTTTCACATAGAATACCACAGAGGGTCTCACAGAGGGCCATCAGCACCCAGTGCCACCCTTCCTTGCAGGCACAGCTGGGCTGGCAAGCTCTGGGCCCAGGTGACATGAGCAGACCGCAGGAGGGCCACCGGCTGTCAGTCAGGCTGCTAGGCCAGCCAAGCTCAACCACCAGAGCAAGTCCAGGTTTGGGCGAGGTCCCAGGTCCCACCACTTTCCCCCTCTGCTGGGATACAGACTCCTGGACGGGCCATTCTGAGCCCAAGGGGCACCTACCGTTGTAGAGCAGCAGCAGAGGCAGGAGGATGGACATCCATTTCTGCTCCATCCCCCAGTCCCGCATGGAGAACTTCCGCAGGGAGTGAGCAAACAGGCACTGCAGAGACCGCCAGGCCGTTACTGCACGGCAGGGCCGCTGGCGCCCAGGACTGCTGTCCACCTGCCCCCCACACTGTGCCCTCATCAGCAGTCTACATGTCAGCAGGGCCTGTGGTGCTTAGCCCTGGTCCCTGGGGTCATCAGCGACCACCAGTCAGATGGCAGAGATCTGCAGAGAATCCAGTGTCCCCAACAGAGTACCGGGGAAGCAGAGCTCCCCCAAACCCACTGTCGCTGACCCACAGCCACCCTACAGAACAAAGGCAAACTGCTCCTCGGGGCTTCCAGAGCTGTCAGCGTGAAAGGAGCAGGCTGCCTCAGCGTCCTCCCTCAGTGGGGCTGTGGATTTGAGCTACTGACCTTGTCAGTAATCCCATGTACCACCCTCTTGAGCAAGAACAGACCAGGAGCATGCCCACTGCCTCTGTCAGACTGGCTGCCTGTGGCCACACCATCTAGTGGTGAAGTCTTTATGTGTGGGCTGAGGGGCAGCTGGGTCACAGAGGCCAAGTGCAGCCAGCAGCTCGTGCCTTGGCCAGGTGCGTGTATCTGCAGGACATGTCCCCGCAGGAGGGGCACTGGGCCAGGGGGGACGGGTGTCTTTACTCCTCTCAAACGAGGTCCAGTCCCCGATCCCCAGGCCTGCGTTCTTTCCTGAAATGAACAAATACTTCTCTAACCCCCTGGGTTCTCGGGCCTGGTGGGTGACTCTCTTGGTCCCGATTACCTGCCAAGGCTTAGGTCCACCTCTCTGGCATAAGGACATTTTCAATAGGGGCTTTGACCCCAGAATCCCAGACAAGAGATCCTTTGAGAACAAGCCAGGGCTTCTGAGTGACCGGTCAGCTCTCACTTTCATTCCAAGTTCACTAGGGGACCTGGGCAGGTCAGAGGGCCCTGGGCTGGCTGCTCCCCGTGGTCCCACATGAATACCCGAGTCCTGCCCTCCCACTCACACAATCCCATAGAGCATCCACCTACAACCCTGCCCACAGCCCCTCCACTGTGCACCTGTGTCTTCCTGGGTGGGGCCCGCTCAGGACCAGGAGTTCAGGCGGGGGAAGGGGGAGGTTCCCACTGCAATCTCCTGAGTGGCAAGCCAAGCCGAAGGCAGGGCATCACCCGCCTCAGGGCCCCAGGCGCAGTGCCCACCTCTTGTTCCCGCTGACACACGTCCGTCCTCACAGATGGGGCCTTGGGGGTGGGGGTCTCTTGTATTTTATGGGGAGCATCCCCCCTAGCCCCGAGGGTTACAGTGAGCCCAGGGAGCCAAGCCGCAGATGCCCGATGGGTCAAACGGCTGTGCTTTCAGCGAAGAGCAAAGGCCTCAAGGTCTCCAACGGCTTCCCAAACAAAGCCGGAAGCATGCTGACTCTTCCGGCCAGGAGAGGGGACCCAAGGATGCAGCCCCCACCCCGGCGCCTGCTCACTGAAGCCCCCCACCCCCCGCAGGTTTGGTTACACACTCCCTATCACATGGGGCCCTCTGAGAGCATCAACTGGCCTTGCCCTGGCCGATACTTACGGTGACGATGAAGGTTAGCACCACAAAGACAAACCGGAACCAGATCTCCAATTGGGAAAAGGCAGGGTCGTACGTCTTCCACTGAAATGGGGGCAAGGGTGTGTGTGTTAAACACACCTGTGCCTCCACGGACAGCCACCCGGGGTGGGGGTCATCCTCTCGGGAACTGCAGGGCTAAAGAACACTGTCACTCCCCTTGCAGAAGGGATGCGAGGGAGATGGGCAGTATAGCACCGATGAAACACACGGCTTTCCTCTAGTTCTTTAATGCTTCCTCCCCCCCACTATCATGACCCTAATCCTACCTTACAAATCTGGCTAGACCAGAGCATGTACACGGGGACAGGTAAGAACTCTCAACACACACGGGATCCAGGACAGACAAACCCATCAGGAACAATATTGAGAGTAGCCATACCAGGAGGGTAAGGGTAAGGTGTGGGGAGAAAGGGGGAAGCGATCACAATGCTCTACCTATAACTCTCTCTCAGGGGGATGGACAACAGAAAAGTGGGTAAAGGGAGACATCGGTCAGTGCAAGACATGAAAAAATAATAAAAACTTATAAATTATCAAGGGTTCATGAGGGAGGGAGGAGTGGGGAGAGAGGGGTAAAAATGAGGAGCTGACACCAAGGGCTCAAGTAGAAAAAAAAATGTTTTGAAAACGATGATGGCAACAAATGTACACATGTGCCTGACGCAATGAATGGATGGATGGATGGTGATAAGAACTGTACGAGCCCCCAATAAAATGATTTTTAAAAAAGGGAGAACACTGTCACATAAAGAGCCTTCATTTGAAATTGCTGAACGTAACTCCCTACTGCGCGGGGCTGGTGACCGCGAGGGACATCTGTGGGAAGCCAACTCTACTAGAGAACGCCCTGGCTGCCAGTAAGAGAAACCTCTTAAGAATGACCTGATGCTCTGGGTAAAAAACAAAAGGGTTGAAGGAAAACAAAAAATAGGAACTTTAACCAACAAAGTAAACTGCGATTAAAGGGGTCCGTGGGCATGCGGGCCGAGGGCTGCCCATGCCAGGTGTCCAGTCCCTCGTGTGGAGGCTGCAGCAGCTGGGAGGAAGCCCTCCAACCTCAGTCACAGCCAGATGCCTGACCAGACCCAGAGCCTGCAAAAGACAACTCACTGCCTCAGGTCGATTCCAGCTCCTGGTGACCTGTGGGTCTCCCAGGCTGCCCATCTGTATGGGAGCAGAGAGCGGCTGCTCTCCCGAGGCGTGGTGGGTGGGTCTGCACTGCTGAGCCCATCTGTACCCACAATGGCACCACCAGGGCCTCTCAGACACTGCAGGGAGGTTCGGCATGGCTCAGCATGCCCCAACCAACCGATGTCACCGCCGGTCCATTCCTGGGGGTTTACCCAAGGGCAGCGAGGGCAAATGTCCATACAGACGCGCCCCGATACTCAGAGCAGCTTTCTGACACGGCCCCAAAGTGGGGTCCACAGGCCCACCAGAGGGTGACTGGATGTCCACCCAGGGGAGGACTAACTACCCTGCAAACGGTGCCCACGCCCCAGGGCTGGTCCACGCTGCTGCACCACACGTGTCAGAGCACTTGCCAGTGGGCACTGTCCCACTGCACACGTTTTTACCCCAGAAAGTCAGGAGAAAGTCAACGCTGGCTTCCGAGGCTGTGTGGTTAGGGTGGTTGGGTGGGGGGTGGCAGCCAAAAGCCGTGCCACCCATCACTGCCCAATCAGAGGGCCCTCGGAGAGCTAGAGAAGGAAGTGCGGGCTTCCCTCAAAGGAGGGTGGCCTGGTATCCCCAGCCACCTCCGGTGGCCCCTCTCTGCGTCCTCTGCCAGGTCTCAGAGGCCCGCTCGGGCTTTTGGAGTTCTCTGCTGTTTCTTCAGGCCAGCCATGCTGTCCACACCTCAGGAACAGTGGTGTCCCGGTACCTTTTAAAACTGCCCACGGCGTCTATGGTCTGAAATAGCATTATTGAAATGCGGGGCATTCTGAATGTCGGTGGAGTGTAAGCGGAAGCCCAGGTACTCACTGTGAAGTTCATCTCCTTGATGGGCAGTTTCAGGTGCTCAAACCCCACCAGCACCGTGTACTGAGTGTAGTTCAGGTAGCCCAGGTGCGCCACGATGATTTCCGCACATCTCTGCAAACACATTAGGGACCTGCCGTGCGTGCTTCATTCCACGCGAGCCAAACGGGCTCTCCCACCTCTGCTGAGGGGAGAAGCACCGGCCAGCAGCAGATGCTCAGAACCCATCTTCGCCAGGGCACTCAACCAGAGCCCAGAACAATTGTGGGGCTGGTGCCAAACCAGCACCGTTCTTAGAGGATGGACCAAATGTTATTTTTTGGAAACCAATCGTGTCTGACTGATAGTCACTGGCATCTTTTTACTTCCGATGTCCCCGGAAAGAAAAGCAGTCACGCGCTAACACAGATCCCACATTTCTGTGCCCGACACAAGCCACATGCACGTGCAAGCCAGACCACGAATTGGACGGTTTTGAGCACTGACTGCACCGCGGGCTGCCGGGAGCCCACACACTTCTGGAAGAAGTTCGGCCAGAATACTGATTAGAAGAGGATGGCGAGACTTTGTCTCACTGCTTGGGACACGTGGTCTGGAGAGACCAGTCCCTGCAGGTAAAGCAGAGGGGAGTGAGAAACAGGAAGGCCCTCAATGAGATGGACTGACACAGTGGTTGCAACAATCGGGTCAAAGACGACAACCGCTGTGAGGGTGGTGCGGGACCAGGCAGTGTTTGACCCGTGTTCACAGGGCCACACACTCACAGGGAGAGCCCAGTCCAGAAGGACACTTCCAGACATGGCCCTAAAGCCTCACCCATCCACAGAATTAGGGTGCCCAGGCCCAGCCTGACCTGTGAGCACCTTCAGTTGTTTTGGTGTAAACAGAGCTCTCGCTCAGTCCCTTCTCCTTCCTGCCAGGAGGTACGGGCAGTCCTGGCCAGCTGCCCAGGCACAGGACCTGCTCACGCCCCCATCTCTGAGGGACCTGCCTTTGTGCCATGCCTTCCTGACCCCTGCCCTCCAGGTCCCCCTGCTGCAGTGGGCTCTTGAACCGTGGCTGGGACTCCCTCTACACCAGGGGTCACGGACGTGGCTCAACCTTCATGTGCCACAAGTACTCAATAGCATTTTTCCAAGGACGCCCAGACAGTACGTTCAGTAAGAGTGAGAGGCTGTCCAGATACTCCAGTGTGCGTCTGTGGGCACGCGTGGGAGTCTGGTGTTGTGCTCACACGTGCACGTGAGCCTTTCTAAGACCTACAGAAGCAGCAGTGCAGTAACGCACATGCGTTTCCTGGCTCTTCCTGTGGTCTGCCCACGATACCCAAGACTCAGCTTAATGACCCTGTGGCCCGAGGCGGTGGAGGGTGGAGGGTGGGGGGTGGGGAGTGGGGAAGAGGTCCTGCACCTTCACTTACCCCGGCGCACGTGAGGGTCCTGGTCCGATTGTGAACTTTGTTGTGAATGAACATAATGTTTCCACCCTGCGTGACGCCATCGACCTTCACCGTCATGGAAAAGCTTGTCTGAACAGAGGTTTCTATAAAAGGAGCAAGGAGGTATGGGGACGTGTCGGGACCATCAGACACCGTCCTCACACCTGCACAGGTGTGCCGTCAACTGACGGCCAGGGACTACCTACCTCACACCCAGTGCTGAGCTGATGCCCACCTGAGTCACAACGCACAGGACGACCTATTTTCTTTGTTTAGTGTGGTGAGCAGACAGGTGACAACGCAGACGCCATTTCCAGTGTGCGTGCACTCGGCGGGCATTCATGACACTCCTCACACCCTCACCCACATCCAGATCCCCCGTCGCCCTTATCAAGCCCTGACCTAACCACCGAAGAGCTGGAGGGCAGGTTGAAGGAACAGTGGCCCTGGTGGCACACTGGGCTATGCTTTGAGTTGTTAACCACAAGGTTGCCGCTTCTAATCCACAGGTCACCCCACCGGAGACAGATGAGGCTGTCTGCTGCTGCCCAGATCTAGTCTCAGAAACCCAAAGGGGCAGTTCAACGCGGTGCTGTAGGCCTGCTGTGGTCAGAATCAACTCGATGGCAACTATAAATAGCAAGTCAGAAAGCACTGCTACAAAATCACAAAAACTCTTCTCATGTCCACACGGTCGGCTGCTGTTTTTCAATACATCCTTCCTCCCTCGCCATCTGGGCGGTCTCTCCACCTTTCCTACCCTTCCCAGGAGAGTCCCGTGTGCTCTGACTGGCTCCGTCGCAAGTCAGCGCTCTGGTGTGGAGGGGTCCAAGCTGTGGCCCTCCTCTGTGTTCTCTGAGTTTGGGAAGCAAACGTCTGACGGGTCAAATCAGGGCTGTAGGGTTCCCCCGAAATGCTCCCGGGACAGCCCTGGCTGCCCTCTAAGAACGAGCAGGGGTGTCGCTGTGGTGGGAAAAAAGGCAGCGTTCTGTTTTCTTAGAACGTCTTCCTAGTAACTCCCTGCGATTGCCCTGTGTCCTTCTATAAAATCTGCCCAGACAGCCCCTCTGCCTTGGATTTCACTGGCCCGGCAGATCGCAGCAAAAGCGAGCACATGTTTGAACGCAACTGAACAAGGCTACGACAAGTGCATTACTGAGAGGGCTTGTCCGCAGCCACTCACTGATCAGCGGGATCTTTACACGGGCTTGGTTTAGAATAAACCCACACTTCTACGAATGGGAGCGCTAGTAGCAATAAGTTCTCAACTTACTCTTGTGATGAGTATCTTTCTACATCACCTTGTGCAAATACTTCTAAGTCTTTTCACCCTATAAAGTACAAAGAAGTGTCCCCCAACGGCAGGCATCCTACCTTTTGATTGCTCCAACTCAACGATGCACGTCAGCCACAGCTGCTGGTTGTACGTGGACAGCGGACTGGAAAGGAGCCGAATCGGCTTCAGCTGCGGCAGAAGAAACATGATGTGATCACTTCGGCAAGACCACCATACACTTGGCCTTGAACTCAGCATGCATACTGAACAAGAAAGGCTAGTGCCCAAGTGCTGACACGGCTCTGCAGGCCAGTTCTTCTTGACTGCTTCACCGAACTCCTGCTTTTCAAAAGAATGGACCAGCTACTTGTGACTCACAATCTCTCCTCAAAACCTGCTGGCAGGTCCCATTACCTGTGGCTGCGGGACAACAGACCTGCGTGAACACCAGGGACAGGCCCAGCTTGGGGCCAAAAAGGAAGGGGCAGGAACGTAGGACGGTTAAGAGGATGCACCAGGAAGGACCCCAGGGGCGGCTCTGTAGTGGCAAGCTAACACGTCAGGATCTCTTTGTAGGGGGAGGTCAGATGTGCAGGCATTCCCCCCCCCATGAGGGCGATCAGTTGCCAGACTGCACTGGGCCTGCTCCCTGCTGCTGGAGACAATGGACTACTCTCTGAAGCTTGGGACCATTAGCTTGGTTCCTGTAGGAGGGGTTTGCACCCTACTGATAATGGTTCCTATGGAGACCCAGAGACCACCCGCTAGACCACCCTCTCATTGCTGTGTAACCTATAGTGCAGCTCCTCCCTGTGACGTATGTCTACCTGTAATTAGTGGACTGGCATGCCCCCAAAAGGTATATAGGCATGGGTCAGCAATATAGAGCGCTCGGACCCCTGCGGACTCTGAGCTCCTTGCTGCTCACCCCCTGGTCACTCCCCTCTCCCTTGTTCCCTTACCCTCCTTCCCTTCCCCCTCTCTCCACGTGGCCACCAAGCTGGGCTGAGGTGAGCAATGCTACCATGTAATATGTCTGACTGCATTATTGTATTATCTCTCATGCTCTCGATGACTTTAATATAATACTTATATATCTCAACCGTACAATTGTGCATTACTGAACCCAGAAGTAGTATTACTGAACCAGTGAGTTCTAGTGGGTGGGGCTGGCTCCCCACTCCTCGGTGTCATTTTTTAATTTAATACTACATCTCTTCTTCAGGGGCAGGCTGGCTCCTCACTGCGGAGGGGTCAGGACAGAGAGGACCATGCTGCCAGAGGTCCTGTGGCAGTGCCTTCTAAAAAGCAGGGTGGTGGCTCTGGGATTCCGAAGACAGCTCTCCCGGGAGCCCAGCCCTCCGTGAAGCAGTCCTATGTCTGGGCTCAGGTCTCAGCGACAGGCCAACAAGGCAATGGATTCCGGGAAGGGTGACCCCTTGAGGCCCCAATCTCAGGATCACCCCTGACAGACAGACAGCCCGGGGCCAAAACACGGTGGGCCACGCAGGAAGGCCTTTCAGACACGAGGACCGAAGGGCACGCCATTGAGGACCTCCCGCCCCGCTGCTTCCTTCTGGAAAGGTGTGAGGACACAGCCCCAGTGAGAGGAGAGGGCGCGGAGCGGGCTGAGCACACTTGACTGCTGTGCGTGCCCGGTCACAGGCGAGCAGACAACGTGTCCCGTGTACAGGAGACCCGACAGCTGACATGCTCACACTTCGGCCATTCCCAAAGGAAACCCAAATCCTCTGGTGGAAGGACCTTTTTGGCTCTGGCTACAAAGGGTGATGAATCATCAAGGCACATGAAACCAAATGCTAATAGCGGTGAGGCGGCCACTGTAAAGACTGTGCCCTCAGACCCATCTCGGGGGCAGGGCTGCACAGGGGCAGGCCTGAGCCCACGCGGATGTGGAAATGAACGCCGGCCCCTCAGAGGCAACCCCACCGCCCTCCCCAAGTGCTGAGACCCTGGTTCCAGCAGCAGATAGTGGGATTCAGAAATGCTGCTGCCCGGGAAGCAAGAGGCAGGGCCAGGCAGTCAGTCAGTCTGTCTGAACGTCTGTCTGGGGCCCCCCTGAAAAGCCCGGACCAGGACCCACTGTGGCTAAGTGTGGAGGTGGTCTCCATTCCCGGTCTCTCTGGGAAGGGTTCGAAAAATGGTCACAATCAACTTGATGGCAGTGAGTGTTGAGGCCAGTTATAAATAGTAAGTCAGAAAGCACTGACGTTCCAGAAAGCACAAAAACTTTTCTTATGTCCAGACGGTCAGCTGCTGGTTCTTGATACATCCTCCCTCGCCATCTGGACGGTGTGTCCACGCGGCTTTCCCAGCGGCACTTTCACGGAAGCAGACCGCCAGCACCCTTGCACGTGCTCCAGCTGTTGACCTTCAGCTAGTGCCTGAGCAGACGCTGCGCATGCCAGCCGAGGACTTGCCCCAGCGCCCGCGCAGCTGACAGCACCCGCCGGCACCACCAGGGCCCCGCCTTACCTTTTTGCTGTTAAGTGAGAAATTGGCTGGGGAAGTCTGGATCACTCTGGGCCCTGAAGTGTAAACGGGGGGGGGGGGGAGAAAAAAAGGAACAAGGCAGAGATTGGATGGAGAGGGCTGCTTCGTGGGGAGTGTGTCTCCATTCCTGGTCTCTCTGGCTGTCCCACCTATCAAGGACACAGCCGCCCGGCCCCTTGGCTGTACTTGGGAGACATCACACGAGGTCGAGTAACGTCTCGATGTTCCGTTTCCCCTCTGTCGTGCACGAGCCAGAGACAACACTGCCACGTGGACTACGGAGCTAATGTACAAAGGCTGCTGCTACAATCCGACGTCTCTTCACCCAACTAAGGGCGGCTGCCCAAACCTTCCACGGGGGACTCCGAGAGGTACAACATGCACCCAGACTGAAGGACGTCCCCGAAACAGACACACAGACGCCACAGGTTCTTCTGTGGGTGGCTCCTGAGAGCAGCCAGGACACCCTGGGAGGCTGACTTTCCTGAGCACAGAGTGGGGTGGTCCTACAAAGCTGTCCCCTCTGGCTGGTTCGGGCAGCCTGCCACCCCAAAAAGGGTCCGGGGACCCAGCGCTGAAGGGGTGCTCTCCACACAGGACGGAGGCTGCTGTCCAAGCGAGGTTCTCATAGGCCACATCTGAGCAGCCCCTCTCCCAGGTGGGGAGGCAGCCTGGCTTCCTGAAAGGAATTCCAGCGCCAGAGCCCCAAGCCCCGGACTCGGCTCTCAGGTGACTGGGCTGGAAATGAGGGGGGCAACCTCCCTCCTGTGGGGGAAAGGCTGAGAGTTCTCGGGGTGTCTGAGGGAGGGAGTGGGCACACAGGTAGGCCGAGGCCTGGCTGAGACCAGGGACCCTGAGAATATGGGCCTGCCCTCCCAATCAGGAAGGATTCTTGTGGAAAAGTCACCGTGGGGACTAAGGTCATCTGAGTCTGTGTGATCTAACGGGAAGGGAGAGGTTTTCAACATCATCGTCATCACCATCAGCTAAACCGCGCCGAGGCTCCCCGCTGCCCCTGCCTAGGCCCAGCCCAAGGTCCTGATTTGGTGAAGACCCTCACTGTCCCCGAGGCACCGGTGCCTCTGGAGTGGATGAAGCTCACTGTGCCTCACACTTTGGGGTGAGTTAATCAATTTTTACATGAACACCTCCCTGTACAGAGGTATCACTTGGGGTGGCAGGGCGTGCGTGGAAGAGTAGAGGTGGGAGGGCGGCCGCACAGCCTCCAGGCTCGGGTCTGCACCGGGATGTGGGAGGACCCCGCAGGCGGAGGGCTCGGCCTGGAGAAGTGAGCATGGCCCTGGTGCGGCCCTTCAGAGGCAGAGTGGTGCCAGGTACTGGGCAGGGGCAGGGTAGACAGAGGTCTACAGGGCCTGCCCCTGTGCCCACAGCCACAGTGAGGCGCCCAGGCCCCCACCCCAAGCTCACAACCACCATTTTGGCACTGAAACCAAGCCCAACCTGATGGCCACTTCTGCAGCCCCAGCACCCAGCACCCAGCAGCTTCTGGGCACAGCGGGCACTCAGGAAGCACGTGCTGGTCAGAGAGCTGGCTGTCAGGGTCACTCGCGCTGCAGGCCCGTGAAAACCAGGACAGGAGAGTGCGGGGCCTCTGCCCGAGGCCCAAAGGGCAGTGGGTCTTCGAGTCCAGGGGCTACGGGGAAGGGAGCCAGGGGAGGCCCAGGGACCGTGGGGGAGGGGGACGATCAGTCAGTGTGTAACCTACCTTTGATCCCCACGAAGATGGTCAGGCTGAAGCAAATGAAGAAAACAACAAAGACGAGGACGAAGTGGCGCTTGGAGAGCGTGTAGAGCCGCATGGGCGCCAGCCTGCGGAGATGCGGGGCGTAAGACGGACGGACAGACAGGGGTAAGACAGGGGGCATGAGAGAGACAGGGGAGACGGGCAGGAGTGAGGTGGGGAGCATGAGACAGTCAAGGGTGAGATGGACAGGGTTGACACGGGCAGGGGTGAGACAGACAGACAGGGGTGAGACGGACGGGGTGAGACGGACGGGGTGAGATGAGCAGGAATGGGACGGGCAGGGGTAGGACAGACAGGGGTGAGACAGGGCATGAGAGAGACAGGGGTGAGACGGACAGAGGTGAAACGGACTGGGTTGACATGGGCAGGGGTAGGACAGACAGGGGTAGGACAGACAGGGGTGAGACGGGGGCATGAGATGGACATGAGTGAGACAGATAGGGCGGGGGCCCACCCTGCAGCCCCTCATCCAGAGGTGGGCTCCTTCTAAGACCAGGGCACTTTCCCCGGCAAAACAGTGTCAAACACCCTGAGACTGTCTCAGGGAACAGGAGACATCCTTTGGGCACGTGCTCCTTAAAAAGGACCCTGCCACCCTGTCCCTCTACCTCTTCGCGACACCCCCCTCGACTATATCACCCCTTGATCAGCAGCCTCAGACACCATCAATCAGTGCCAGCTGCAGGCCCCCAGTGCCACCGCCCTGTCCCCATTGCTGTCCACACCAGCGCTGGCCGCTCCTTCAGGCGCCCTCACAGGCTAAGACCTCCAGGTCCTCACCCACTGCGCAACGCTGTGAAGTCTGAGTCTGATGCGAGTAAACACGCCACCCCGAGGGGCTAATGGGGGCCAGCCTAGGGAACCCTGTGGGCAATCTCTCTGCCCTAGAGTCCCTGAGAGTGGGAACCAGCTGCTCAGCAGTGGGGGTGGGGAGGATCGCTTATCAGGACCAGAAACAAAGGGACCTCTAGAGAGGCCAGACTCTGTGCTGTGAACCACTGTCTGACACCCCCCACCACCACCACCTTCCCAAGCAGCAGTCACCAGATGGGCATGTCTGTGCCCTGATAAGCTGAGGCTGGCAGACCCTGCACCCCAGTCACACACTGAAGAGGGCAGAGCCTGTGCTTCATTGGTATTTGCTTTGTTCCTTCTGATCTCTACTCTCCAGTCCTGCTGGGACTGAGCATGCTGCCAGGAGGGTGGGGGTGGAAGCTCAGCTGGCACACTAGGAGGAAGGTACAGCGGCCGGGTCATTTCCCAAGGTGCTGGTAAGTACCACTTCCCTACTCCTCAAACCTTTCCCCCTCTACTCCCACCCCTTCCCCCCACTGGAGGAGGAAATTGGTGGCGGGGCCTTATCTGGGCCTGGGCCAGGG